GCGCGCGGCGCCTGCGGACCCCGGCCCGGCCGGCCAAGCTGGCCCGCGGGCAGCCGGAGACCCGTGTGCTGTGTCTTCCCCAGGTTTCGGAGAAGAACCAGTGGGGAGAGATTGTCGAGGAGTTCAACTTTCCCAGAAGTTGCTCTAACGCTGCCTTTGCTTTAAAACAGTATTACTTGCGGTGAGTAGTCGTGACTTTTCCACGCTGTTTGGAAGGAAGGGACTTACGAGATTTCTTCCTTTCTTTTTCTTTTTTTTTTTTTTTTTTTCGACAAAGGCAAAACCAAACTTGCACGCCAGCCGGCTTTTAATCTCCTATTAATTTCAGTTGAGGAAACGTTTAGCATCAGTAAGGGGCGATGGCAGGACATTCTCTTCACCTGTCTTAGGCTCAGTTCTGTGCCTCGTGCAGAATCACTACAGGTGACACCCTCCCCTGCCCTGAGAAACATTCTTTTGTGACACGATTATTGATCGCTCCGTTTCCACCGAGGGACAGAAAGGTGATGCTTAGCGAAAGACTTAAGGTAGTTAATGAAACTTTGTATCGTAACCTTTGGCAAAATTTCTTGTTTTGAAAACTCCTTTAGCTTTTTAGAATTCTGACTTTGAGTATTGAAGACGTTGTTCGGGACGATGTGGTCGAGTAGCCTTTCGGTGAAGTATGTCTACATAGCATCACATGTAGGTGGCTTAGGCGATGAGGATTGCTCTTAGAGTTAGTTGGTTGGGTTTCCGAGCAACTTGAATATGCTCAGCGTCTTTAGGAAAATGGGGATACTGTGAAGCTGGATACTGTGACTTGGATTTTCTTTCATCCTCCCTTTTTTTACTGCTTGGTATGTGGTGTAGACCAAACAATGTACCTTGTGGTTTAGCTTTTTTTTCTCCCATTTTCTTCTGTAGGAATATTTTCATATTGTAATTTATTATGAGGTCATCTTTTACTTTGGTTACCCAAAGAAAGTCCTTAGTTGGTTATTTGAAATTAAAATAATATCCTTTGTGTTTACTGCTTTCTAATAAATTTTGGTAGTAGTGATATTGTTTGATAGTTTTCTTTTGTAATAGGGTTTCTGCCTAATTTATTTTCGTGTTGTTGCTTCAGGTGCACTTCAGAGTCATTCTGTGTTGTGTTCAGCACTCTCAAATAGGAAATGCAGTAATTGCGCAGGTGTGCTTCCTATTGGCTGGCTTAGATTGACTTCAAGCTTGAAGCTAGAGTTCCCAGAACTTTGTGGAGTGCTTACTGAGTTCCGTAGAAAGCCTAGAAAATATTAAATATGGTTAGTTGTTATCTGTTGTGTGTGTGGGGGGGTGTCTGTGTGTGTGTGTGTGTAATGGCTGTGTGTCACGGTACATTTTTAAATAAAGAGCTATATCAAAAACAAAAAAAAGCAAACAAAGTTAACCTCCAACTGTTGATTTAGTAATGGGGGGAGGAAGAGACTTTTGTATCTGTGATGGTAGTCACTTGCTTATTTCCATTTTTATTACTGAGAGTTACATGTTAATACATGTTCTGTTTTTTTTCTAATCAGTTGAAGCAGTATGATTTTATACTGTTTTGAATGCTTGATTGAGTTTTCATATTCTAAAGGTATTGTGTAATATATACAAATCACAAGACATATATATTTCTGAAGAATTTACATTTATACTAAGTTTTAGTATACTTTCATAGGCTTCAGTTTTGTGCATAAGTTAATAAAAAATACTGTTTTTTGAGTTTTAATTTCTATCTTGGGATCATATCAGCCATTAGTTATAGGTACAGTTTCTAACTATATAGTTTCAAGGTTGTAAGTACATTGTTTTCAGATCAGTGTGGGCTTTATGCTCTTACTAGAAGCTGCTTTTTGAACTGTGTCCTCAGCTAAACTTGTTTTTCCTCCATATGTCACTCTCCAGGTTTGTTTTTGTAGGGTTGTAGCTAGGCTACTAGGAAAAAAGTTGAAGCATTTGTTTTGGAAAATAAAACCATGTGAAGATTTGCATGGCTTATAAAGAAATACAAAAGAAATAGGCTGGTCAAAAATTGAGTACTACCAACCTTGAAAGAATTTTCTCTAGTGGTGTAATATTGCACAGTTAGAGGGTATGTATTATGCTAGCTCTTACATCTTACTTTGAAAAATGTTAACTGGCAGAGCAGATGCCAAGCTTTAACAGTAATTCTGTTACTTAAGCATAAGAGCGCCTCTTCATAGTAAGAAATAGTAATCAACTGACTTGATAAGTTACCTCTTTGCTACATCAAAGTGAATATGATTTCTGATGAGCAGATAATATAGTGTGCTTTATAAATCACCAGTGGGATAATTTTTAATGTGAGCTTTTTTTTCTTTTGACCTATTGGAAGACTATATTATATGTGTTCACCTTACTTTACAAGTTTAATATTTGCTCACATTCTCCTTTTACTTATTAATTGGCTGGGTGGCTGCTAGCCTAGTATTATGTGTATGGGGTATATCTGGACAATACTTAAATGTCTTTTCTACAGACATTTAAGTAGAAGCAAGCTACTGCGCTGACCATGTATATAGTGTAACAGTTTTATGTTTTTATTATAAACATAGGCATTCAGTATAGAAACTTGAGTTTAATGGTCTGCCCAAAGTTAGATTGATTGTATTAAACATAATTTATTCAGTTGCAGATTGTTTACAGAAAGTCTACGTTTGAAAATGCAGTCGATTTTCTTTAACATTATCATTTACTTTTTAAAAATATAAAGGCTTATTTATAACGTGTTAAAGTCTGTAAACATTCGGTGTTGCTCGTGTGTGTCTGTATACTTTATTTCCTTTTAGCATGTATATGTTAATGTTTCCATAAATGTTTTATTACTAGAATACCTTCTACATGCAAAGAATAAAATGTAATTTTCTACAATTTTTTATATGAAGAAATTAAAATACTAAAAAAATTTTAAATGGCTTTAGGGGCATTTGCCTAATTGGGCAAAAATATGGTCATGGAATGTATTCAGTGATACTTACCTTATTATGAGTTCAGTTTATTACAAATGATTTTAATAAAGTAAAATATACTTGAAAATTGCATCTAGTCAGACTTATGCCCAAGTATATTTATGTTCACTGTGTCCCATATTCACTTGGTGAATTTTATTTTTTGTTCTGTTTTGGTACAAAGATTGGAGACAATTTGCTACTCCTATTTGGGTTAAGAATTTGAAGTTTGGTATGAAGATTTAGGTAAATATTTCAAGTATTTTGTTAAGGAATTTTGTTTTTGGTTAATGATGACAATAATACAGGTACAGTCAAGGTTAACCTAATGTTACCTGTATAAAACTTGATTTTTTGGTATAGAGATAAAATATCTTGGTCATTAACTATTTTTTGTGTAGTGCTGTGTGTTGCTGGTTTTCTTGCATTAAAACTTAAAGTATTTTTAAAATGTGTTTACCTTGAGAAAGCACATTTAATTATAGTTCTGGCCGCCATAGTGAGTTTTCAATTATGAATTTTTTTTTTTTTTTTTTTTTTGGTCTCTTGGTGGGAAAAGCCCTTTAAATTACATCAGTAGAGGGAGTTCCCATTCGCCATTAAATGACGTGAACACGCTCATGTGATTCTATAGTTAGTGTCTACCAGGTAGGTCAGTTGTTTTAAGAGAAGCTTTTTTTATGAACCATTTGAAGGTGAGTAAATGAATTGTTTAAAATTTAAATAAATAAATAAAGTAACATTGAGTTTACGAGTGGCTAAACAGAGCTGGATGAGCATGTTCCTCTCCCTTTCCAAGAAAGGGAAATAAAAGCAACATAGAGGCATGGAAAAACAACTTTATTCGTATTCGTATATGTATTTTAAATTTAACTTTATAAGCAGCAGCCTCCTATTTTGAGCAACCCCCTTTTGATACTTAATGACACTATGTTACATTTTTAAAAGGCTGGAGGTCTTACTGAAGGTAGGACTAGAAAGTGGAGAAAGTTGAGGGACTGATCTGAGATCAGCTGCCGTAGTGTGTTGTGTCTTAGAATTCCTGTTTGTGGTAGAGAGAAGTCTGCTGCTTTCCAAATTTTACTAAAGATGGAGACTGAAAACTTTGTAACTCCCAAAACGTTTATGTGTGCTTTATTTTGCATTTAAATTTTATGCTGTAGCCATTAGTTTAAAGTGTCTGTTTTTGAATAGAAACACTATTTGTTTTGTGGTACTGGGGACTGAGCCCAAGGCCTGGTGTATGCTAGGCAGATGCCCCTCGGCCGAGCTGTGGCCTAGCCTGGAAGCACTGGTGTATAATCTTACCTCTCCGCTGTGTTGTGGATTCAGTGTTTTCAGTTCACTGTGTGTAAAATCCAGAATAATGGCTTTGATGAAAAGGTCTGTCATTGCTGTGGATCCTTCATATTCTCAAACGTTGAAAGTTGGTAGAGGAAGGAAAAACAAAGGTTCTAATTCCTTGGAATTTAAGTGCGTTTTAGTCACTAAGCAAATACTTATTCCTACTTTTAGGTGAAGTGCAGTGTTTAGTAAGAGGGTGTTTTGGTTTTTTTGGTTTGGATTAGTTTGGTTTGGTTTGTTTCTTCGTTTGCAGTGCTGAGGGTCCAACCCAGGGCTGCGCTCCTGCTGGCAAGTGCTCTACCCCTGAACTGCACCCCCTGCTTCGTTATCATTTTCTGAGGGCTGCTTACTTGTGCACTTTTCTGCTCCACTACAGATGAACGATAAGAATTGATTTGAGGGATGTGAGGCGGGGTAGGGCTTGGTAGATTCTGTCTGTGTGCTTCTTGGGCTGTCACCACCGCCACCACCAGCACCACGTGTTTTGGGTTTGGAGGTCAGTTAGATTTGAAATTCCCAGTTTGTGCTCTGCGAAACACTAGTTTTCCCCAGATGTTAGCATGTTGCCTTGACAAGAGAGTCCAGATGATTTTGAGTAGTAAGCTAACGCCGGCTTAAATGCGGGATTTCTCGGAGACGTGGTTTTGTTACTGGGCGTTGTCAGTCTCCAGAAGGTTTGGGGGTTCCTGCTGTTCACTCACAGTAAACGGCCTTCCCTGAGCACCACCACAGTGCTGTGTAGGGGTGCAGCCCGTGTGTGTTGGAAGACCCGCGCAGTTCCTTAGAGCACAGTTTGGGACGCTGAGGTGAAGAAATAGGAGTTGAGAAAAGTGAAAATGAGGTCATTACTGAGGCAGTAATT